GAGCATCTTTGCCTATGTCTGTGGGCCGCCTGATGTCCTCTTTGCAGAAGGGTCTGTTCGTGGCTTTCACCCACTTTTAAATTGGGTTTTTGGGGGGATATCTTGAGTTTTATAAGTTCTTTATAAACTCTGGATATTAACCCCTTATCAGCGAGTATGTTCTTGAATCCAGTGTTTTTTCTTTTCATTTTGTTGGTTTCCTTAGCTGTGCAAAAACTTTTTAGTGTGATGTAGTCACACTTATTTTTTTCTTTTCCCTTGCCTGAGGAGATATATCAGAAAATACAGTGCTACAAGAAATGTTCGAGAATTTACTGCCTGTGTTACTTATATGTGTAACAGTAACTAAACTGAACCAAGGGACACAAAACACGGTACTAGGAGACCAGAGAAGAAGGCAGAAACTAAGAACTAGACAGCTGTTGCCCCTTTTTTGGGAAAAACAGAGAAGTGGCTTTACATTATAATTAAAGGAATTTAAATTAGGAGACAAGAAAATAATTAACTAATAGGAACCTGTGAAATAAGTCTGAGGATATTCTAAAAATACACTGCACGGAAGACACAATGTTGAGCAGACCACACAGCACAGCGCGGTGACTGCCGCGGGCAAGGCAGTGGGCAGTGAACGAACAGTCCAGACAGTCCTTTCAACTCTGCTATCAAAGAAAAAAGGGGGAAAAAAAAAAAAAAGAGGCAGTTTAAAAACTGAGGGAAAAAACACACCTTTTTGGGAAGAGGTTCCTCGTTGGTCATCTTGAATCCTAGAAAAAGAGAAAAGAGATGAGATTCAGTTATTTTCCACTGAAGATAGAACAAAAAAAAAATACTAGCCTTTTCAAACCAATATATCAGTAAACTCAACTATGATCAAATCATTAGCGTTTCTTTTTACTTTCGTTTTAGATTTACAGAACAGCCGCAGAGATGTCGTGGGGTTCCACACACCCCACATTCAATTTCTGCTTTGTTACATCTTACATCAATACTACTATTATATGATGCTACTACTGTTATCAGGTTATTTTTACATTTCTTTTGTAAGGAAGTTCATTCTTCCTGATGTCGCTATAAAGGAAGGAGGGAAGTAATTTTTCAGTGCATTCTTACGCCTGCCCTATGAAAGACAAACTTTGCAGAGGTGATAGCTCTGTGCTGAAGTCAGACATTGACCTCAGGCAGTATCCCAGGCATCTTCCTGAAATGATACAGAAGGGCACCATAGCTACGCAAAACTTTATTTATAAAACGTAAGTATTATGGATGCTATTTAATATAGACTGAATTCCAGTTAACCAACTAGTATATGCTTCTACAACCCGACTCTTTCCCCAGCTCTATTTGTTCATTCTTTTCTAACTACTTATTTGTTCAACTTCTTATTACACTAAAATAAAATTAATTGCAAGTTTAATTAGCAATAAATATGCTAAACTATTTTTTAAAAGGCATTTAAGGGACCGAGAAAGACACTAAGGAAGTCCTGACAGCCCTCCTTTTCTGGAACAGGGTGAGACAAAATAAAAACATTGCATTGGCTAAGAAGTCCGTTATGTTTTTTCCACACAATGGCTCTAGCAGTACTTAGCTGTCTTTAATTTCATTCGAAACAATTCTGTTTGATTGTACTGATAGCAGTCATAGCATGCATTAAAAAACAAATAATCAGCCCTGGCTGGTGTGGCTCAGTGGATTGAGTGCTGGCCTGCAAAACCAAAGGGTTGCCAATTTGATTCCCAGCCAGGGCACATGCCTGGGTTGTGCGCCAGGTCCCCAGTAGGGGGCAGGTGAGAGGCAACCACACACTGATGTTTCTCTCCCTTTCTCTAAAAATCAATAAATAAAATCTTAAATAAAAAAAACAACGAAATTCATGAATTTTTGTGCAGCCATTTTAATATTGAAGATGGAAGAAGATACACAATATTTTTGGCATTATGCTTTATTATTTTTGGAAAGGTAAAAATGCAACTGAAACGCCAAAAAGATTGCTGGGGGGAGACTGGTACAAGGGGACTAAATGGTACATGGAAAAGGTGCTATGACTGATCAAATGCGTCAGAAGTGGTTTGAGAAGTTTCTTGGTACTGTTGACATTTTGGCCAAATAACCCTTTGCTGTGGGGCTGTCTCGTGCACTGGAAGATGTTTAGCAGCACCCTTGGCCTCTACCCACTACAAGCCCATACCGGGAGACAGCCAACATACTCAAAATATCCAAATGAATGAAGTCTTTGGTGAAAACGAAAAATGTCTTCCATTTTATGGAAAAAAACCATACGGACTTTTCAGCCAACTCAGTGAAAAAGGCAACGTAACCTCTGGGCCTCAGCCCCCCCACCTCAAAAAGGATTACCACCACCAAGGCTCAAAATTGTTGTGTTATTTTTGAAGATAAATATCAGACTTTAGCATGGTGTTACTTTTTTAATTATTTAATTAAAATAAGCGTTTAATTATTAGTTTCTTTCTCCCCATTAAAAAAAAAGACCCCCAATTACTATTTCTCGAAAAACCAAAGGGAGAATTGACAGGTTGAGGAAAAGTCTTAAAATGTTTAAGAACAAAATTCTTGGTGATCTCGCTTATGTTCTCTTTCCTTAAAAGTTAGATGCTGGGTAGATTTTAATAACAAACTGTTTAGAGGATATTTGTATTTTCTTTTTAATAGCGAATGTCTCAACCTGTAACACAAGCGGGGGGTAAGTACAGGTTCTGTGTCAATCTCTGCACTGCTCGCGTCAGTTCTCACAGCCAGGGGTCATGCCACCGGTCCCAGGACCCGCAGCTGGAGGACTCCAAGCATCAGCATTTAGAAACTCCTCTCTTATCTTCAGCTGATTAAAAGTCAGTCTTGAGTCCATGATATTGCATAACGGTTAAATGGGCAGTCTGGCAAAGGCAAATTAGGCCAGGTTTAAAATTTGAAAGCACCAACATCCAACTATTTAGTCAAAATAGAACCTAGTCCTCAAATTTGACTTTCACAAATGTGCTAAGAAATTTATCATTTCCAAGGCAATTTTGGGGGCACAACTAACAGCGCAGTAACCATCTACAGTCAATTCTAAGTCGTAAAGACAGCGGGCAGTCCAGGTTCTCAGTACAATCTGTTCTCGTATCAGAAAAATGAAATGACTGAACGTCATTTGAGTTGAACCCTGGAGGAAAAAAATGAATATACGTTCAGTGCTATGAGCCACTTTGAAAGTCAGTCCCCATTTTCCAGATGATTAAATGACAAAAGTTGGTAACTAATGAAGATGGGTAATTCCCCACTCTCTCGTCTAGAATAATGATCAAGCAGCTTACAGCTAGCTGAAGTAGAGAATGCAGAAAAGCAAAATAAAATTCAGAACTGGCCAATTTGGTTAACTTTTAGCATACTTAAGAAAACGATGAAGCATGATTTTAAAGTTATGTAATGGTTTCCGTTATTTATATGGCCAATTCAGAGACAATATCTCTCAAGTTTACAATGTCAGAAGCTTCCCCCACTCCCGATGCCCTAACACTGAAAACCAGCACCCGACGTGGAGGCTCGGTTCTGCTTGGCTGGGGGCCCAGCATCCCAGATCCCAGGACCTCCCTGGCTCTTAGCACCAAGATCTAAGTTATGCAACTCAGTCCTCTCTCAACTGAGAGGCAAGCACCAGGCAACACAACTTCAGCATGAAAGCAGGTACGAATGACTAATCTGACCTCGAACTAGCCTTGGCACTGTAGTAGGAAAGGGTACTAATCAGAAACGGGAAGACCACCTTTTCCTGACTCCTGTACCTTCTCAGTCATGTCCTTCTGAGCAAGTCACTCAACTTCCTGGGCTACAGTCTCTAAACCAGCAGAAAGGGGACACAAATTCCGCCTGCCTCATAAAGTGCTCTCAATGCTTGGAGTGCCACAAAAGCACTATACCAAAAAACAAAAAAAAAGGCGGGGGGGAGTTCCCATAAAATACAAACATTTAACATAAAAGATTTTAGTGTGCATTTAGGAAAAATTTCCATCACCTACATTTTCAAGAGAGAAGAACATTTATTTATAACATTGATTTCTATCCTGATGCACCACCTTAATAGTCAATATACTATTATGGGAATATTAAAGTTTTATCTCTAATAAACTTAGTAATAGAAAATTACTTAGAGTCACAAAAGTAGGAGATAATTTAATACTATCTAGGTCTTGTTTTGCTAAATGATCCACCAACATAAAATTTTTAAGAGCAAGAAGAAATTTTTTTCAATAGCTACATAATATACAATTAATGAAAACCATCAAGACTGCTACTAAATATACCGGGTGGGGCAAAACCTACAGTTGAATAAAATGTTTATTCTTGTATTTTCTTGTATTATTAATTGTTGTATTATCTTTTCCACTAACAACTGTAAACCTTTTGCCCACCCCTATATTTTCAAGGGGAGTCTATACTACATAACACAAGACTCTAAGTGACTCTGAAAAACTGTAATATCCTGTACAAACGTAATTATTATTTTACGATTATTACAACTCTCATATCCACATCGTACGGCTGTGGTGATAAAGCTGACTTCCACTTCTTTTCCAGCAATGGAATTAACTAAAGTCTAAGAGATGGAAAACTAGATGGACAATTTACAACTGTAACATGCTCATGGAAATATTTTTCTGTCTCGCGCAAAAGAATCGTCTTTTATTATATAAACATGGTTATTTAGAATTTTTAACATAGTCCTTTGGGATCCAACATAACTGACCTTACGAAAACAAGAACTTGGGCTTTCTACACTAACAACAACAAAAAAATCCACGAACAGCCAGACAAGGACCGAAGACGAGACTTTACATTTTCACGAAAATCTGTAAGCAATTCCACAGAGAATGATCTTTGAACTCAGAATGCACCAATCATTCAAAAATGGAAGTCTACAGGAGAACGCAGCTGCAGCAACAACCTACTGCGCGACGTGAAATTGGGGGAACGAACGCCGCCGCTTCCCTTCCCCTGCTGTCCTCCTCAGCACCGCCAGCCCCGGGATCCGGCCAGTGGGTGGGAGGGGGCGAAACCGAGGCGGAGACAGGACGCACACCGAGGGGGCGGACTCCCGGTCTCGCCAGTCCGCGGGAGAGCCCACCGCGCACCCCGGGCCCAGGGGACGGAGGAAAGAGGTAATGGCCTCGAAGCAGCGGAAGTGTCCCTGCAGGCGGGAAGGCGGCGCGGCTAACGGGAAGCCGGCGGGCTCGGAAGCCTGGAGTCGCCCGCCGGGCTCTAGGCGCCCCTTCTGGGCCAGGGCGGCCGCGCTTCAGCCCTGGGGACCCAGATATCCTCGCGGCCGCTCCCGCCGGCGGCTCGCACCTACCTCTCCAGACGGAGGTCGCGCCGGCGCCGCCTAGTCACATAGGCCGAGGCCACGCTGCCCGATCGCCGCCGAGGCCACCCGATCACGGTAGCGACGGCCCCCCACGCTCCCCTTTATTTGCGGGTCTCGCCGCCACAAAATGGCGCTGAGGGAGGAAGCGAGGCCTCGCCGCCCCACCCCCTTCCCTCTCCTCCCGCCGCCCCGCCCCGCCCGCAGCCCTGCCCTGGCCCAAACGCGCCGCCGCCCGCTCACTCCCGCCCCTTCTTGTTCGCGTCCCGCCCACTCACCGACCTGTCGCCTCGCGACACGGCCGCAACTCCCCAGTCGCCGCTGGGTCCCGTCACAGGAAGGAAGGGCGAATGGACGGCGCCCGACCCGGGCACTCTAGGAGCGAAGGAGGGGCTGCGCTCCGGTGGCACCCCCCGCGGCCGCGGGAGCGCCGCAAGCTCCCCGGGGGCGGGGAGATGCGGCCCGCGGGGCGGGCTGGACCGCGAGGTCAGAGGTCAGCCGCGAGGCATCACGGGAAGGGCTGCGGGGTCGCGATCAGCGGCTTGGGGTGGACGCGCTCGCGGGCCACCTGCGGCTGCGGCGCGGCCTCTGGCGGAGGAATCTGAGCCAGGGCGGCGCGTGATTGGACGTGCACTTACAAAGCCTGTCTGTGATTCCTCCGCGCGCTGGCGGGCCGGTGCAAGCGCAGGAGTGCGGCCGTGGGCCGGGTGGGGAACGGGTTGGGGCGGCCTCAGCCTTACAGTTACGAGTTTTAAGAGCTTAGAAACCGACGCCTTCTGTTCTGTCGTGAAGTGCGGCCCGCCTAGCCGCTTGGTTGAGACCTGATGACATCTCGAGGTGAAGCGCAGGAGCTGTTGTCTTGTAGATGGACGCTGTGCCTTTGTCAGCAAGTCTAGGGGCACCTCGCTAACCCAGAAACGAGAGGAAGCTCACCTTGTGTGCTTTTAATGAACCCGATTAAATAAGTTTTATAATTCGAATATGCCGTCTTAAGAGGAGAACTTGGTGTCATCAGGACCATTGCGTAAGAACGATGGTGTCACCTGGTAAACGAGAAACCGTCTCTTCTCACACTGACTCCTAGGGTCAGATAATTCTTTGATTGGTCCGCCCTTATCCAGCTTTACCAGAACTGTTTTATCCCCAAAGGTGTCCTGGAACTAGGTGGTTTATGAGGATAAGATTAAAGTATACTCCAGATGGTCAAAGGGATAATATCCCTAGGAAATCAGATCAGTGTGGAGAAAATATTTGCAACTTACATCACAGGACTCTTCAAAACTGAAAAAGACCACAGTTCAAGGAGAAAAATGGGCAAGAGCGTGCACAGACAAGTCACAGAAAAAAAATAGCAGTGGCCCTTAAACATAAAGGACTGTTCGTCCTCACTTGCAGTGGAGTGCATGCACATTATTAGGACGATACTGTTGCTTTGGATTGAGCTCCAGGTTTTGTGGAAAATTGGGAGGCCATCCCAGGAACAATAAAAATGGTTACTTGTAGAGGGAGGTGGGGGGAGGGAAAATAAGCAGGCAAGACTAACCTGTTTTTGAATTTTTATTTACATAGCCAGAAAATAAAAAAGGAAACGAAGTAAACCCAAGGTTGAAGGCAAATTGGTGACATAACCAGGTTGTTAAACAGAGAGAAGGATTATTCCCCAGAACTTGTAAACATAGTACACAGAGAGGATGTGTGGTGGGATATATCCTAAGGATGAAAAGAGAACTGTGAGGGAATCTTCAGCTTCACTCAGTGGTGTATAATTAATGGTAATATCGTTGCGATATAGTTTTGGAACTGTATAGTAGGATACACAAATATTTTAATGTTACAACGTATGAGACTTTCAGTGTAAGAGAGAATGAAATACACATATAAGATGAAGAAAGTTCAGAAAAAAAGTGTCATGTTGAAATTGGAATTACCAATGTGAGCACGCGATTTTTAAAAGTGAATTTCTTAGTTCTGTGCACTGAAAGGGCCTGGATAGGGGCAGTAGGTTGACCAGCGGTTCCAGTTTGCCAGGGACTTGGATTTCCCGAGATGGGAACTTGGAGCATTAAAGCTAGAGCTGAACTGTCCCTGTCACACACACCTTGGGGGCAGGTCTCTGTACAGTAACAATGAACACAGTTGCCGATCACATCGTGGTCTCTAACTTCCATTTCCCACAAAATAGACCCAGAGCATCTTGGAGAATTGACTGATTCCAGTTCTGGGGCGGGGAAAGGTGCATAGAAAGTCAGATGTTTTGTTGTGCCTGAATGCAAGGGAAACGCTTAGGCTAGTGGTAGTATGTCCCCAGGGTTTAGGAGAACAGGCAGAACTAATCTCTAGTGATAGAAGTCAAATCCGTGCTTGGCAAAGGAGGGAAAAGGGGCAGGAATCAACTGGAAAGGAAAATGGGAACTTCGGCGGGTGATGAAAATATTCTACGTCATGGGTGATGATTACCCAGGTATATATGTTTGTCAAAATTCATTTACCACTAAAATGGATGTATTTAATGTAAATTATACTTCACATCTATTAGACATCATGTAAGTTGCACCTTCGTATGTATGCAAATTATACCTCAATAAAGTGTGGAAATACATGAAGACGAAATGAGAAAAGCAAAGGCTACTTAATTCAGAGGTTGCTGTAGCAAGAGAGTGCCCCCCCCCCGCCCCCGCTTGGGTTGGGCAGAGACTCAAAGGCGGGCAGAGGAAGGGGTGAGCCTCTCTGGGGGACACGGAGGGCCCAGCTGTGCCCTCACCGGGCTGGGGGGGGGCGGGGGGCTGTGGGCAGGGAAGCTGGAGGCGGCTGATTAGAGGTGAGGCAGCCCTGGGATCAGTTAAGGGGTGTGGGTTTGGCTTTCTTCCGCTGGTTCTAAGTTGGAAGTGGGACAGATATCGGGGAAGCTGTTAGTTTTTAATCAAATCTGTCCATTTCGAGCTGAGTGTTACCTAGACGGCTTGTTGAGGCTTCTGGGTTGTTACAGAGAGAGCAGCCTGACTCGCTTTGACTCTGACCTCCAGCAGGCTGGCTTCCTGGGCAGGTTACTGGGGGTGAGGGGGTGGGTTTCCTGTGCACTTTGCTGCCAGCTGTGTCACAATTCTATTTTTATACATGGTCTGGCCATGTCTGTATATTTGGTCTCTAAAAGTAAATTTAAAAAAATTTTAATTGTTGTTCAAGTACAGTTTTCTGCCCTTAATCCTCATTCCAGCCCACCCCCCCAAGCCCTCCTCTCCTCCCTCCCATCTCCATGTGCCCTTGTTATTCTCCATGTGCCCTTTATACTTGTTCCTGCAAACCCTTCCCCCTTTCCCCTGAAATTCCCTCCCCTCTCCCCTCTGGTCACTGTCAGCCTGTTCTCTATTTTAGTGTCTTTGGTTATATTTTGCTTGCTTGTTTGTCGATTAGGTTCCTGTTAAAGGTGAGATCATATGGTATTTGTCCCTCACTGCCCGGCTAATTTCACTTAGCATAATGCTCTCCAGTTCCAGCCATGCTGTCACAAAGGGTAGGAGCTCCTTTCTCTGCTGCGTAGAATTCCATTGTGTAAATGTACCATAGTTTTTTGATCCATTCATTTACTGATGGGCATCTAGGTTGCTTCCAGCACTTAGCTATTGTGAGTTGTGCTGCTATGAACATTGGGGTGCGTAGGTTCTTTTGGATTGGTGTTTCAGGGTTCTAAAAGTAAATTTTAAACAGACAAGAAAGCCAGCTTAAAAGATCACCCACAGACCAACTTAGAGCAACTTGAGCAAATGACTACAATTGATTGTAAATACTGAATAGATAAAAATCTGTGCTCTGTGGTTGTACTGGATGAGAGAGAAGGGGGCAGGAGACTATGGCCGTCACTGGAAACGACTGCATACCGACTTCGTACTCTGAAAATTATATGGTGCCAGCAAATAAATGTAGAATAAACAATGTAGTTAGAAAATGACTATTACACAAATCCTCAAGAAATAATCAATTTAGGCAAGGGTTATCAATGGACTTTAAAATCTTTAGAGATGATAGATTGCTGCAAAGTAGCAGTATTCGTGCGCCACCGAAATATCGCTCCACGGGTAATTCATCTAATTCCAGAGAACACGCTTGTATAGGGAGCCATCTGGTGGCCACCACCTGAACCAAATGATCACATTTAAAATACGTAAGAGTGGGGTAACCGTCCATTTGCAGAAAGCACAGGAGCAAGAGTGGTATTGCAAATCTAAAAGTACTAGCAAAATTAATTATTACCCTTCCAAGAAAACGTTATGAAACTATCAACAATAAATGTTCACTGAGCACCTGAGTTGGGCCTAGCATGGTCCTCATTATTCATGCCAGTTGAAGCTGCAAGTTCAAATGAGATATCGAAGTCTGGTGATGTTTCGTGCGCATTGCTGTTTTAAACAGCACATGCTCAGTCAGTTGGCCACTTCCTTTCCATCCGTCTGCACTGAGCCTCTAACCTTTACTCCTCCTACTTTGATTTAGGGACCACCTAATAAAATGTTAATAGGGAGACCAGATTTTTTAAAAAGAAGAAAAAGACACCAGCAGTCAGTCTGGCCCGTGTCATTGGCACCCAGAAAGTCCAGGGGCCCTGGATGTGGCAGAATTGGCAGTGGAGGAAGCTGACAGTGATCCACGGAAGCTCCCCTGAGTCTTAGCGCTCGTGAGATCAGGACCCTGGGCATGCTCTCCCAGGAGCCAGTGCGCTTGCGCAGATCCTTTCGCTCTGTCTGCAGTGCTCTTTGCACTTGGCCTCACCAGGCTACCCGCCGTTCATTAGCAATTAGCTTCAGA